TTCGGTCCATAATATCTCAATACTCCGTACTTAAGGATTATCTTACACTTGGAGTTCTCTAATATACTTTAGCAGTTATATCTCTAGTATACTAAGAGTCTTCTGGTAAGCAATAATCTTCTGGTTGGTATCATCTTTACAAATTTTAAACTTCCATCTTTTTCTCTCTTTTGCTGGATCTGCCTAGGTCCGAGATATTTTAAATCTTTTGTGATAACTTCGTTCCATGTGATTTACTACCTCTTCCTCTTTTAACACCTTCATTCGTCATGTTTTCACATCTATGAACCGCAGAACCGGTGCATTTGAAGTCATATGTAACAAGTGGCAAAGCCAGAAATTTTCCAAGGGTGTTCAGACTAAAAAGAAGTTAAAAAAAAATTCGACAAAGGGTGTTCAATATATGTTTTATATATCTAAAATCAGTATTTTACTTATATACACAGTGTAATTTTTTGTAATATTTCCACCCTTAGTAAAAGGTGGCTTCGCCCCTGTATGTGACACATGGCGAAACCATCTCAAGCCACATTCTCTCCTTTTATCCTCTATATGCGCTAGCTGTATCTTCTGATGGAAGTGATTAGTTCAATCTTATCTAATCTTGTATGACTGCAGATCCATCTTAACATTTGCATCTATGCGATACTCATCTTGTGGATATGTTGGGCTTAGAGGCCCAACATTCACTCCCTACAACATTGCTGGCTTTACCATCGTTCTACTCAACATCATGTTCTAGTGAGAAAAAAAATGATACGTCTAAATCCAGACATATCCTTCATTGCTAATAGTTTCAGTAATCAAAATCTTCATCAGAGGTTTCTGTGATCAGATTAACAAAGAACATCTAATCAGCACGCTCGTCGAGTTAGATCTTGTAAACTTTCTGATTATGTGAGTATTTCTACTGCATCTGAGTTCTTTGAATATACTTGCATACAGATGTAATGTTGAAGACATTCTACTAGAGATGGACAGGATTCTTAGACCAGAAGGTGCAGTTATACTCCGAGATCATGCAGATACTCTTGGCCAAGTTAAACGAATTGCAACTGGTATGAGGTGGAAGACAAAAATGGTAGATAATGAGGATGGTCCTCTTATTCCAGAAAAGGTTTTGTTTGCTGTCAAAAGATACTGGGTTGTTGGAGATAACAACTCCACCTCCTTATAGTAAAAGGCGTGAAGGGATCCCTGTACGCCAGAGTAAGTATGATTCTTTTTCCCCTGGGCATTCAAAGTTGACAACTACAAGAAGAGATCCCTGCAGTTTGTCATGGTAATCTTTTTCTTTTTCTTTTCCTTTTTCGTTCTTCTTATTTAGTGGTTGCAGGTAAGAAAAGTTTTTAGTTTTTATGCCTCATTGGTTGTTTATTAAAGGGCTTCATCTCGATCTCTTTGTGTAGTATTATTACTATTATAGTTATTATCTTTTTTTCTTGATTTACTTTGCTATATACCATGTATTTATAGCAGTTTTTTTAGAGATTCCAGCTCAGCAGAATGAGTTATTTATTGTTAGGAATCAGACTTACTTTCTGATGTCCTATTTTTCAAGAACATCTAGCTGTGATCTTACTCCGGTGAAACAGTTTACTACAGAACTGGACATGGGCCAGGTTACTCTCAATGTTGTTACAGATCGATATGCAACCATCTCGGATCCAACTAGGCATTTATCTAACAGAAAGGCCAAAGCAAAAGCCATGTACACATAAATGAGTCTGTAAAACTGATAACCCTTAACCATAGGATAGCCAAATCATTGAACTATTGAATTTTTGGAGAGGCATCAAATTCAAAATTCATTATGATGTGTTGTCTTGAGTCCCTACCTCACTTGGATGAGTGGCGGATCTCTGTCTTTGTTTTTGAGTTCTCTTTTGAGCCTCTTGTTATCGCAGAAGTCCCGTTGCATTTATTATCTGTAGTTAATATTGCATTCTTCCTGTGGATGTAATGACTGACTAACTGCAAACTGTTAGGTATAGAATTATCTTTGGTTGAAGGAACATCAGAGGTACTGTAAAGTCTGTGATTTATTGTGTTAGATTTGGTGAGAGTTTATAAGGCTGTCAATATTAGGCTTCTCCAAACATGTAGGATCCACCATCTTAAAGCTACCCGACCCCCTTCCCTCATGTTTCCATGTAAAGCCATGTTATAAAAGGAGTGCATACAGAACCAAGAGAAAACAAAACCTCTTCAAATCAAAATTCATCCTATGACTTTCAATTCTTTTAACTTTTGCTTCTAAAGTAAGTCTCCCTCCAAAATATTTTGACACTTATGTATGTATGTTGCTAAGCTGCTTTATATAAGTCAATTTGATTGATTCTTCCCAAGATATTAATACGTACAAGTCCTCTCGAACTAATATTATTTTTAGTTCAAAACTTCTGTAACTTTTTGGAAGGAAAAAACATTTTTTGTCTCCATGGCAGCCGATGATAATACGACCAGCCTTCGTATTGCATCATTTTCTTGTTACCTCAGCAACCCTGAAGAGAGCTTTGTACAGAAAATTGGTGGTGCAGTTGAGTCTGCTCTTATTTCACACCCTGAGACCCCATTTTCCTTGACTGCAGTAAAAGCTGCTAAGGCAGCTGCTGCAAAGCCGTCCTTAAACAGCAACCAAGATAACCTCGCGAATCTTCGCATGGAGTCTTTTTCTTATCTCAAAACAAAGGAAGAAAACTTTGCGTTTAAGAATTCAGCAGCACCAGTTCAAGATCCTACTATTGCATTTGTATTTCCTCAACAGGTAAAACAACTAGAACGAAACAAGTCCAAAGATGGAGAGATTAGCATATTTGGTGCTGACAAGTACTTCAACATGGACTTGGATTATGGAGCTGCCCCTCTCCCTCCAGATGGGGTTATGAAGTACAAGACAACAGATCCGCCAAACCTGAAACCCAATGTACAGTCGGGAACTCCTAGCATTTGTTCTGAGGCAAGCAGCTGGAACAGTCAAAATGCACTGTTACAAAATATTCGGCGAAATGGATGTCAGACAAAGCAGAAGAAGATAACAAGAAGAAGATTTCTGGACAGCATCAGCTGTCAACCTTGTTCGGACAAGAAAGCAGTTTATGTGGATGAAAGCATAGGACATGCAATTTCTCAGCCAGGACCAAAGCATGGGGTAGGTCCTTTTGCGTTGAGTTTGGCTCAAGGTCAAAGCATTGAAGAGCAGAGGAAATCACTGGAAGTGTTTGGCTCTGGCAAAATGGGAAAAGGAGATATAGCAGTGAACTTAGAGAGGAAACTCTCTATGTTAACTTGGGACGCTATTCCTAAAGCCCAAAACCTCCCTACAACTACCAACGGAAGCAGCACGGTCTGTGATGACATGGCTAGCGATGCTAGCTCCGATTTATTCGAAATTGAGAATATATCCAGCAGTGGATATGGACTTGTGAATACACAAACTTCAGGTGATTGTATGTCTAGCAGTTGTATGTCTCCAACAACTCAGTACGCGCCAAGTGAGGTCAGCATTGAGTGGAGCGTTGTCACAGCCAGTGCTGCTGATTACTCGTCCATTATCTCCGATTATGATGAAAAAAACTTTTGCATTAGTGGTAACATAAATTCAAGATATGCAACCGATAAAACCACCAAAAACAAGAACACAGTAGGCAAAGAGGTGCAAAAAACTTGCCCGAGTACTGGGCTTTTAGGTTGCAAGAGCCATAAAGCTGTAAATGTGGCTGAAACTGTGCATAAGACTAGTGAGAAAGCAAATCAAAGATGATTTAATTCCCTCATAGTTCAGTAAATTTGAGAGAAAAATTATTTTCTTATTGAAAAGGAGTGTAAAACTTAATAGTTTAGTTCGACTGTACTTGGTATAATCTTGGCTTAATCCCTATCTTTCTTTCCTTAATAAAGGAATAGTTTGTATTATTGTAGCTAATTTGTCTTCCTCTTAACTGCCGACTCTATCTTGTCATGAGTAAAGTTGTTTCAGTGTCTTTGTGTCAAGAAAAGCCACAGCAGCCTTCATACATAAAAGCACAAGTGTTTTCTCTCCAAAACAATAAAGCCTAGTTTAAACCACAAAAAATGTAACCATCGGCCTGCCTTGTCTGAAAAGAAGATATTATTATGGTTTGTTTATATGTTTCTCCTTTCCTTATGCTCTCCTGATTCTATATAGTTGGTGTTCATCAACATTTGAGCATCTATTGAAACAAAGCTACTTTCCAAAAGACATGTTTGCCTCACTCAAGAGTCATCAAATCCAAATATTGAAGTTGGCATGCACCTATATGTCCAAAACCCAAAAGGCCCTACTTGAACAGAATCTTGCTTCAAAATGAGATACATATTTGGACTTTAAACTGATGCCTTCAAGTGATGTTGTCTGCCTTGTTCATTGACAGTGTTTTCATTACTGTTGAAATATTTGAAATACTTTTCTTGTATGTCCGACCAACTTGGTTTGGGGAGTGTGGCCATGCGACTCCAAAACCAAGTACAGTAGTAGAATATTTCACTTGATTTATAGTCTGGTAAAGAAGATCTGTATAGCAGTACTGTTCTCTTTGCTAATATGCTTCCACTACTTGAATATCTGTAGTTGAAATAATGTGTAGACTCTACTGACACATGATACAATTAAGAAATTAAAAGCGGGCATTCTTTAAGTAACTTAAGCTTTTAGATTAAACGATCATACACTTTTACATAATTAAAGCAAACATCCTAGGCTCAAACCTAGCACGCGTAAAAAATAAAAATACATAGTATCTTTATGTGTTTGACTCATAGAAAGAATTAGGCTCACACATGAAAAGTATGTCGTGATATAATATAGTACTAATTAAGTTAAAATGTGCTACTATCCTTTAACAAATTAAGTTTTTCAAATGAAATGGTCGCACACTACTGCAGGCTCTGCTAGCATTATTGGAAAACTAAAACAAAATCCTCCCAAGCCACTTCGTACCAGTCCTTTGTGTCCCCTAACCAGTTAAATGGATAACAACATTTTCAAGAGAATAGGATAAGCTTTGCCAAAACATCTTATGCCAATTGCCACTAATGTATAATTTTAGTGGCTTTCATTGTCCTATTCGAAAGCACAAAAATTATATCTTAAAAGATTGCGTAACTTGTCGACAGGGTGGGAAGAGAGCACGTGTTCAATCTGTTAACAACTCCAAACTGTGGAACCAGATAGATCTTGATGCAAGAGGTGGTGAGTAGGAACTCTAGGTTAAAATGCGGGCTAGCCAGTTTCCGAATTGGTCATTCAAAAATAGCCGGTGTTTCCAAAGTTATTGAGAATAGCCACTATTTTATTGCAACAGGGACCAGTCCAGCATAATATACTGCAGATCGGTGCACCTTCGTATGAGTTTCTAGCATAATATACTGGAGATCGATGCAACTTCGTATGAATTTCCAGCATATTATGCTGGAACTCCAACACGCGGAAAGTTCCAGCATAATATACTGGAGATTGGAGCACCTGTGTATGAATTTCCAGCATATTATATTGGACTGGTATATTATACTGGAACTCCAGTATATTATGCTGGAGGTCCAGTATAATTATGCTGGAACTCCATTATAATATGCTGGAGTTCCAGTATACTTATGCTGGAACTCCAGTATATTATGCTGGAGTATTTTTCGGATTTTGAACAGTGTTTTTGTTCAGATTTATCTTTACATAAAAAATGACTAAATTTCGATTACTTTTGAAACTATAGCTATTTTTGAATACCACTCGTAAATCTGACTATTTTTGAATTTCTCCCGAACTCTAGAATAGAATTATAAGATTAGTTATATACTTCTAATATATAATTATGAGTTCAATAATTGGAAGAATCAAAAGGAAATGTCAATCCAGATAACATAACCACATGACAATCATGCCTGAATGTGCTTGGACCAGCTTGTCGGTTAGCAATTCTTAATTTTGTAGTCATCCTAATCCTCTATTTGGAAGCGAATATAACGGATTCTCTAGTTTCTAACTGTAGTTAATTATTACTTCTCTCTGAATAATTTTTCTTAAATATTTGCTTATAATGTATGGTTTCAATGAAGGTGCCACAATAGTGCCACAATCCATGCCCATGACACATATTGTCCGTTTTGGCCCAATAGACCTCATGGATTTTTTTTCCTCGCCATTGTTGATCTCAAAGGACATGTACCATCTGAATTGTGCTATATCTTATAAAGCTCTTTAATTTCCTCTCTTATTCCAATGCAACATTCATCTAAGATGTCATGTGCATCCCACAGTCCTTCTCTCTGACCTGCCCTCCGTCTGGGCGTCACAAATAGAAAGGTCCCATGTTTTTAATACGGATTAATAGTGAAGAAAATATAAGCTATAGATCATGATTAAAAAGTAGTAAGCATATGGAGTTATGTGGTTGATATATGCCTTGATTTAAGATAGAAGAAAGTTAGAAGCTAAACTAATAGGAAAAGGTTGTGTATACTATGTAGCTGTTTCTGATAGGCTTATTTACTTTTGGTGACAACTAGGTGCTCTGACACTGAAAGAAGAATGTTTGGAGAGATTTCAAAAGAATGTTGGATAGCTGCCGTCAAAGTTGAGGATGGAAATTCTCTAGGTCACTAAGGGTGTGACAGAGTTAACATTTATTACATTGGTAGGCCAAGCAATGGGAATGTTTGTCAAGAGGGACCAATAGGAGTTGTGTATCAATGTCAAAGTAGGGTTTGTGGACGACCATATTAATATTTAATTAGGAGTTTAGGACCACTCCTTTTAATAAGCTGACCATCCTATATTCAATTTCTATTTTTTTTGCCAATGAGTTCCATTATGGTTGTCAAGAAAAGGACTTAAATTAATAGGGTAACAAATCAGTTAACAAGGGCAGAAGCTCATGCCGACCTTGTTACAATTCCACATGCGCACTTCTATCTTTCCTTAGATATCACACAGTATATATAGTTTACATCTTTCTAAAATGTATAGTTATACCCAATTCGTACCTGTTGTCATGAAATAGTAGTGAAAACGTACCATATCACACCTATTGAATTAAAATTCACAAATCCATCCCCCCCCCAACCCCCCCCCAACCCCCCCAAAAAAAAGGAAAAAAAACATTGAAGGTCTTAGAATATTCACAATTGGTGGATCATGGGTCTTCCTAGAGACTCCAATTCATAATTTTTGAATTAGAAGCCTTCTTATTTGTTTTGGGCCTCACTGGACTTCACACTCTGCATAATACCCACTTACCTTATTTGGATTGAGCAAACTTCATTTGTAGCCATTAGGGCCAAACTTATATCACCTGATAGCCACAAAATAACCGCTTACAAGTAATAGCCTCAAAACAATAACAAAGGCTAGCAACTGAAAAAGCTGAAACTATACGCTCAACGCAAACGAAAAGGAAAGCAGTCGTAATCGATTTGGTATCCTAAATTCACGCGTTCAGAATGGGATCTTCAACCTCCAAACACTATAAAAGTCGCCCAATTATTCACATTGTGAAATTTTTTTTAGGGTTTCTGAAGATTAAACCCAGAGAAGAGCTCCCAAAAATTCACGCTGAAATTCAAAGTTTTTGCACAATTGTTGCCTACAATCAGCTTAATAGAGTTGAGATTTCGTTCTTAAATTGTGAAATTGATACAAAATCGACAAAATCAACTAATGTCTATGGAGATTGTGAATGCTAGAACTACCGTTCCAACTTTGATTCCGATTTTACTTCAACACAGTGGTGAATGGGTAAGTGAGAGTAAATTTGTTAATTTCCTTGTTAATGGCGTGTTGATCAATTCAGACTGTAGCTATGATTATTTTGTTGATGAGATATACAAGCAATTGGGTAGAGATCCAATTACAAGTGCAATGGAGATAAAATATACAGTGAAGGATAGCTATATAGCAATTCCAATATACAATGATATGAGCGTGCGCTTGTATATGGAGATGAAAAAGAAAAACCTGAATATCACTGAATATCCATTATGCATAACATTGAAAACTGTGTATTCAAGTGCTGAATGCTCATATTCAAGTTCATACTCGGGTGGCAACTTACTCGCAACAACTTCGGCTGGAAACTTACTCGCAACAACTTCAGTTGGTTTACAATGTCAGAACGTAGAAGAAGTACACGGAACTAATATTGTTGAGATGATGGATAATCATGTAAAGGAAGACAAAATTGAGATATTGAAGGGAAATTGTATAATAGACAATCCACAACATGAAGAAATTGCAGAAGGTCAGTTGTATTGGGACAAAGATACACTTATTAGTGTAATGAAGCACTACGCAATACGAGAAAAATATCAATTTATAGTGGATAGATCATCTACAACAAGGTATGATTTCTACTTATGAGATTGCACTTCTCTATAATTTTATGTATACAGATCTGTATAAAAAATGTATAATTATTGTATAGTGTAAATTTATGCATACAGATCTGTATAAAAAATGTATAATTATTGTATAGTGTAAATTTATACATACAGATCTGTATAAAAAATGTATAATTATTGTATAGTGAGATTGCATATGTATACAGATCTGTATAAAAAATATATAATTATTGTATAGTGAGATAGCATATGTATACTGGTTGTTTATTTGAGACACAAGTGTAAAAATCTGAAGAAATGCATTATCATAACACTATATTTTAAATAGGTATTGTCTTATATGCGTGGATGAAAGTTACAAATGGAGTCTTAGATCTTCAAGTCTACAAATCAAATGTCTTCAAGGTTAGACGGTTCAATGATGTTCACACTTGCTCAGAGATGACTAGACTGTTTTCACAACGTCATGCTACTTTGTCTGCCATTGCAAAAATGATTTGCAGCAAATATGCCAATCCAAAAACAATATACACTCCGGCAGACATCATGAGCGACGTGAAACAACAGTATGAGATTAATATGAGTTACGTAAAAGCTTATAGAACAAACGAAAAGGA